AGTCAGTCGACATGTTGAGTTGGACGCCATCTATACAAATTTACGAGCAAAGGATCACTACCGCAGTAGAATGACTACAAAGGAAAAGGACATTATACAAGCAGCTCAGGCACCAGTGGCAGCTGCGGAGACTAACAAGCCATGGTCATGAGGCATGGTTTGAAGGACCATTTTTAAAAGCCACGTGCCCAAAAGGCTGATGACCTATAAAAACGCACGCATGTGACCGTTGTCAACTTTTGCTCTTAAAAAATATGACGTGCGTGGGCTGTGGTGAAGGAGTCAACTGTCGTTCAAAGGCCTTCTAATGCGCCACCTGCGAGAAATGGACACACAAAGGTTGCTGTGAAACTGAGAATTATCTTTACTAATGCCTTAAGCACACTGCGACCCGTATCTAGCAGTGGTTAGTGGCAAAGAATTTCCGTATACATAACGCTTTCGCACAAGCCGTGTTTGACGGCGACACCTGTTTCATCAGTGTACCTGCCCGGGTCTGGTTACTATACACCCAAAGGACAAAGAAATCGTGCTTACTCTACTACGTTGGCAGAAACACCGCTACCCAGTGAGATCAAGAATGGGCTGAAGGATAAGCTCAAGACCTATGCCGCAGTGGCAAACAATAGCACCCCAGATAAATGCTAGGATAACTACAAACAAAGCCACAAGAAAGACATCTACACGTCCCGAGATAAAATCAAACAACACAAACACGGAGCCAAAGCTCGTTTTAGACAGAGTAGTGCAGCTTAAGTAACTGATTAGAAAACGAAATGCCCACAAAAGCCAGCTTCACCGGTAAGAGACAAGACCCGTAATCACAATGGCTGTCTGATAATCACAAACGTTCCAGTATCCAACAAAGACTTCAGCCGAGAGGATAGTCGACGACCAAGCATTCCTTAAGCGAATGTTCTCCACACTGTTCGATGAGGATGAGCAAGGGAGGAATCTCATCTCTGCTTTTCGCCTTGGCAGAAAACAAGAGGACATGCGAGTTTCGTGCTCTGAAAATCGTGTCAGGATGAAGAATGCCAGCGCATCCTGAGACAGGCCCTGCATCTCAAGGGCGAAACGTTCTACATCCTGGAAGACCTCTCCAGAAGGACCGAGTCAGGATGAGGCAAGCTGTCTGCGAGCTGCGAACCAGAAGAGCAGATGGAGAAACAGACCTACACATTGTGGATTTTCGCGCAGTAAGAAATACTCAGAGCTCGATGGAGACTAATCCGAATCTTCCCTGGAACTCAAACATAAAGAACGGACTACAAGTCGCACGTGCGGTGTGCAGTCTCAGAAACAAGCTAGATGAGCAGCAACTGAACCTCATGGCGTTCACCGAAATCTGATTGTCATTTGATATAGCAGACTTGGAGGCTCATACCCCAAGATTCTAAAGCTTTGGTGGGAGATCTGGAGGCGGAGTAGTCTACTTGTAGTCCACATTGTCGAACCCGATTGTGATTAGGATGATAGGTCAGAAATGCTCTGGTGTCGAATTCATGACGGATACCAATCGTTGATGGTAGGAATGATCTACAGTGATCCTACAGGACCTGACTCACACCTAGTGCACTCCGCGAGAAAAAACAGAAGAGGCACAAACTCTCTTCTTGTGGGTGACTTTAACGCTTACGGCATAATCTGGGACTTACTTTACAGCGATCTCCTTTGAAGCTAATCACTTTGATACCGTCCACGAGTGAAACTTGACACAGCATTTCTTGACACCAACACGGATGGTCCCGGGCCAGACACTAAACGTTCTAGTCTTGGTTCTCACGCCGGCCCCATCTTATGTCTGAGCTAACAATCCTCCCTCTTGGAAAGTACGATCAACGTACAGGCTTCTTATGAATACGACGTTTAACAATCCACGAACAGAGAACACCGCGTCAGAATCACTAGCGCACTAACCAGTCCAGATTAAGAATAGCTGCAAGCAACATGGACTGGAGTATTCCGCATTCCTCGGATCTTAATGACGCATAAGAACGTGTACAATCTATGACGATGTTGTTCATTGAAGTTTGCTCCAAGCTAAAGGAGCAGGCCACCATCAAAAGGGCGCCCTTGGATTGGTAAAGAAAGATCCTTGATGAAACGACGATGGAAACTGTGGGATCATTTCAGGCTCACAGGACTGACATCAAGCTACTCAGAGTACAAAGCTATCAGAAACCTATGCACTCTGAAAAAACGAGACAAACGACAACAATATGGACTGGCCATAGAATCCAAACTTTTCCCAAAAAACTGTTAGCTAAGTGAAATGAGATTCCAAAACTAGTGGAATCCCCGCGCTATCCTCCTTTAAGAAAGGCACTGTACTCTACGACGATGTTGAAAAAGCAAACCTACTGGCGGGGCAGTATTCCTCGGTCTACACAGTGGAAACTCCATTGCTTGGCAACTGTGCCTGCATACTAGTCAACTCTGGAGTAAGTCAAATTTAACCCCGAGGTTATCAGGAAGCTACTCCTCGAATTGGATCCGAAATCCCCAAGCTCAGACTGGTTGTATCACACCTTACTCCAAATGATAGCTGAGTACATCGCCACCCCCATCTGTCAAGTATTTCGGCACTACCTTGAAGTCGGCAGTTTATCCGCAGGCTGGAAAGTAGATACCATCATGACAAAATAAAGGGGAGAAAACCATCAAGAATCAATTCGCCTGACATCAGTAGTCTGCAAAACCATGGAACGAATAGCCAAACGCGCCATCCAACTACAATGTGAGAACTTAAACATTATCTCTCACGTGCAACATGGTTTCCGAGGAGCACGCTCTTGCATCTAACTTATTTAATGCCAGAGAACCATGGGCTGAAGCCATATACATACGAAGATAAGCCGACGTGATCTTCATTGACTTTAGTAAAGCTTTTGACAGAGTTCCACACGAACGACTGCTGTTCAAGCTTTACGGAATCGGCATTATAGTAATCTTTGCTTTTGAATTGCCGATTTCCCAACAGCTAGGACAATGAGCGTGAAAGTGAAACAAACCCTCTCAGCTTATGTGCCTATGACTAGTGGCGTTCCCCAAGGATCCTGCTCGAACCAGAGCTCTTCAAACTGTACATCAACAGTCTCCCGATTGCTTGATCCAACTATGGTCAACATTATCCAGCCTTTGGGATGTGGACAGATTACAGGGGCTTTAGGCTAGCTACAGCAATGGTCGATCAAGTGGTAACTGTCAGTAAACCGAGATAAATGCGCTGTTCTCTCACGGCTCATTCCCGGTCTCACACGGCTCATTCCCGGTCTTCAGGGTGTGCCGTATGAAGAAAGATGCAGGAAATTGGGTCTGTATACTCTAGCCTACCGCCGCGTGCGAGTGGACCTCATCATGACCCATCGGGTATTGCATCTGGGTGCTTATCCGATGCTGAGGCCACTGCTCCATGTCCGTGCGCCAAGCAGCACACGAGGTCACCAGTACAAACTGGTAGTCCCTGACCTCAAGTGGGTAGCTCATCCCTTGTGTCTTGAGCGGCGAGTGGTGAACATGTGGAACCGTTTGCCCTCGCGGATAGTAGAAGCGAACTCGGTGTCGGAATTCAAACGATTCCTGGACGTGCACTTTGCGGATGCCAGATTCGACGAAGCCTTCACAGGAAACTGACGAAGGAATCGTTCAATGATTATAACCCATGGAGCCCGTTAATCCACCAACTGCAGCTTCCGAAACGATGCCTATCCGTAATAGGCGGCGGAGCTGGTGAAGGACTCCATGTGGTTCATCCAAGAATATATCGTAAGTACATGGAGATTTTTTCTATGCTTGTAAATATTTTACTTTTTTCACTTGGGCTAGCTCACTACTACAGGTAACACTGTGTCAGTGGGACATGTCCTACATTGAGATATAACTACATAGATGTTCAACATCTTTCTCGCTACCATGACAGTAAAGTAAAGTGAGCGGCAGAGTGCATACCACGTTGGTGGATTTCTCCAGGGGGTTTATCATGTCTTCTGACCTAAAGACATCACAGGACAAATTGAAGGTGGGCATTGGAAGATTGGTAGATGCCCGAAATCGTAAATCCTTCGATCTGTTCACTTGTTCACGTCCGTCCAATTTTAGAATATGGCTTACCAGATATTCATCTGCGCTCTGCTGGACAAGTTTAAGAGGCGGGCTTCGAAATCAGTTCTGGGGCTTCGTCATGGCCCATAACCAATTTGACTCCAGCAGCTATATCTGTTATCGCTGGAGTTCTTCCGTCGCCGGGGCAATCTCATCTACACTAGGCGCATCGTCCGAGAGGAAAACGAAAGTTAGTTACAATAATTCTTCCGGCCCAATACTGACTGTTCCAAATGAGGTCACACATGGAAGCTGTCTAAACAAAGATCAAATTAGCATGGTTGTCACCCTAGCCACTAGAGTGGTAAATGAATGGAACGACCTGCCGGAGGAAATTGAGAAGGCGCCATCCGAGGAAAGTTTCAGGCGTCTGTTAGACAACCATTCTATCAGAATACTGGAAACTGCAACTGCGACGAACACTGCGTCCCGCATCAAACGTAGAGTGGTTCGGAATCGATGGAGCTGACAACTTTCTTTCAGACCCTTTAAAACTCAATGAACCCAATGAACACTTAAGCTACGCTCCGCTACACACTGACGCAGTGGTAATATCAACTCAGTTGGTTGCGAAACGCTTGCAACAAAGTGCTAAGCTCATCGAACAGTTCGCTTAGCAAATTAATAGGCTGGCTACTTATGTTTGCTTTGATGTCAAAGAAACGGTTGAAATAAGGGTAGAGCAATACATTCAAATAGAGATACGAAAAGGAGTGGCGTATTGGTAGCAGTGGAATGACATAAGTGCCAACAGGACCGTTGGCTGTTCCGATGGAAGCAAAATAATGAGGAAGGCGAGAGTAATAACTAGATAGGAACTAATTGAAGCTTGCATTTATAATGACTGTGTAAAAATTCATTAAGCTGCGCACGTGATGTAAGCACATGTAACTCACTTGACTGTCCAAACTGGTAACGACACGCTTCACCTCAGCCTTAGATTCAACCTCTGCAATAAAGCGGACAAACTCAAGGGTAGTTTTGGAAAACCGTATAGGGGCGGGGGTAGAGAGCACGCTAGGACAAAGCTGGCGTAACTTCTCGATAATTTCCCACGTAGTGAAAGACTTAACTCGGCCTGAGGAGTCGTGGAGATGTGGTAACTGAACCGTTAGGCAGACACGACAGACGGGTTTTAAGTACAGATTAAAATCCGAGGCTAAAACCCGTAACTCTGGTCCTTTGTTAGCATCTGACTGATCCATCGAAAGTAGTGTCGCGAAGACAAAGGAGTGCAAAATGCTCACTACAATCTGTAGATCAACTATCACAATAATCCTAAGCTTTGGAACGGGTTACAAACTGCCCAAAAACTGCGAATAGCAACGAACCAATATCCGTCGACCTTCACGAAAAACAGTTAGCATGCTAACAAAAACAGCACATTAAAATATGTAACCAACACACGTCAAGCGGTTAGAGAGCAGGTATAAACAGGTTATAATTTTTCTGGTCAGGCAACAAGCCACAAAGAAAATGTATATAATCGTTCGCATAAAGTTAGCGTGTAAACACAGGGACCGGCATATTAGCAGCGAAACAAATACCTTGGGTGCTATATGCTTATGTATATTTTCTATTTTTTGTAGGGTATTTGTTTTCAGCTAAGTATTAATTTCATGTGTTTCGCAGAAAAAATGAACATCCCTAAATATAGACATAATTTTATGCCATTGCTGCTGTGCATGCCACTGCTACAACTGGTGTCTGTGTAGACATGACGCGAATTCCGACACAACCCCACTCAAACTCCGCTATACCCTGACGATCGTCGCAACAATTGGCGCAAACGAGCTGCAGAATGTCGCCTTGGTAACAAGCCTTGGCAACGGTTAGAGTGCTTCCGTCAAGTTCGGGTGGGATCAGGATGATTGGAGAATCCTTCGTGTGTTCCATCATGAACAAAAGAAGAAAAGAAAAGAAAATGGATTTTTTTGTCTGACGAACCTACTGGTGGCTCGCGAAAGTTGGGCAGATGCAGTGGATAACGGCCACGCGCTGGACGTGCTTTTCGTCGACCTTTCGAAGGCTTTTGACAAGGTACCTTATTTGAAGCATGCGCACAATCTGACCTCCTACGGGGTATCTTTTCGTGCCGTTCACTGTGTGACTGTTTTTTTGAGAGTAGAAAACAGTATGTACGGGTAGCCCGTGGTCTATATTTTAAGCAGTCTGTCCTCAGTGGCGTGCCGCAGGGCTTGGTCCTTGGACCGCTGCTGTGCTCTAATTATGTGAATGTCACCCGCGGAGCTTGAGGTACCATCGCTGCTATTTGATGATGACCTAAATCTGTGGAACATTGTCAATGTTCCTTCGGTTCGGACGCTATTCAGCGAGCATTGTATAAGCTTTGGGACTGGTCCTCATAATGGTTACTACCAATAAACCAGGCAAAGTGCCCCGTTCTTCGGATTAGAAGAGGTCGTCCGCTTACGAAGTACGTGGTCGGTGGAGGCGAACTTACCTGTGTACCTAGCCAGGTTGACCTAGGCGTCGTACACTCAAAAGCTTTGCACTCAGGCGAAAACTGGAAGGACGCAGGAAGCAGAGGTTTTCGCATGTTACGGTTAATACGAGGTTCTTTCGGAGTCTTGACGGGCGGCAACTTTACGAGACTGTTCTCGGCATCCGTTCGACTTTATCTGGAATACCGCGTCCAGGTTTACCCGTCCTGCTTCATCCGGGACAAAATGGAGCTAGAGTGTTTTGCGAGCGGGTACTAGGTTAGCCGAGGGAGTACGGGGACGGAAGTACCCCGAGCGACTACGTAGTTGGGAAACGCATTCAATGCACTACCGAAGGCTTAGAGGAGACACAATCCTAACCTACCGTATCTTAACTGGGAAGGTTGGTCCAGATTTATCTAAGCTATTCAGTCCCGCTAGATTGTCTGTTCTACGCGTTTATTACTTGAAGGTGGACAAAAAGCGGTATTGCTCGGATTACGGAGGAAATCCGGCTGTCACGCAGAGTCATCGAGCGCTGGAACATGATTCCGGATAGTGCCTTCGGGGAGGCTACCGTTAAGGGATTTGAGCGGATACTTGACGTTCATGGGTGGCAACACGAAAGCTTCCCATTTTCTGAGTAACTCGCATCTTTGTACTTCGATTTTCGTTTCTCTTCTTTTCTTCACGCATTGGCATTATTTTCTTATTTCAAGTGCACTTCCTTATGCTGTACTTTGGAGTTCTCCTCCTATCCTATGCTTACTTCACGTGACTGCTACAACAGAGACTGTAAGGGCAGGAAACGTGGGCTTTAACTGGTCGGCCAGGATGCGGTACGGGTGTATCGTTTTAGGGCCAGCAATAACTGAGCACTTCATAAATTTCCTGTCTCAACGATCCACTCAAGGTAGAACACTCATGGGATGCTGCTTTCGTTCCAGTCCCATCTGAACTTGAGCTTGTCGATGCGAGATACTCAGGAAAGGGGATACGGTTCTTGTTGCCACCACTGTGCGTCATTTCCCCCACACACACATTAACCGTAGGTTCCCTGATAACCTTTTCTGGAGGCAGGTTCCAACACTTGACGACGGCATGACAGCTGGACTTCCGTCCTAATCCGATTTGACTGCGGTTTTTCCAGCCTCAAGGAATGACAGCATTGAACAGAGAACCTAACTGGACGGAGTAGCCAAGCTAACTCTGAACCAACCTTCTTAGTCAAGACAAGAGGTTAGAATTAGGTCTCCTCTAAACCTTTAGCAGTGCACTGATTGCATTCCCAAACTAAGAAAACCCACGGGGTTGGTCTGTCCCCGTAATATCACGACTATCCTAGTATCCACCCTTAAAATCCTCCCTAGCTCCATTTGGTCCCGGACGTGGCTGGTCGGACAAGTCTGTATACAGTATTTAAGAGGAGGCCAAATGAAAACCGCAAACATTCTCGTTAAGATGCCGGCTATCAATACTCCGTAAGAAAGTCGTATTAACCACAACATGCGAAACATCTGCTTGCGGTCTTCTTCCAGCTTTCGCCGGGTGTGAAGTTTTTGAGTGTACACCGCTTAGATTAACCTGAAAAGAAGCACGGGAGAGTTTGTTCCAACCGAATAAGCGCTTTTCAGGTGCACAACCACCAAGTCGAATAACAGCGCCCTTTGTCTTATTTGTGGGCAGTAATCATAAAGTAGACCGTTTCCAAAGTTTATCCAATGCTCTCTGAATATCTTCAGAGCCCCAAGAAGCATCAACAGAAGTCCACACATTCAGGTAAGCAGAAATCAGCAGCGATGGTGGCACAAACACCGCGAGTAATTTCTTCACGTACATAGATACAAGCAGTGTCCCGAGGACCGAGCCCTGGGTGCGCCAATGAGGACAATTTGCTTAAACGAAATGCCATGGGCTACCCGCACATTTTGTTTTCTATCATCCAAGAAGGCAGTCACCCACTGAAGGGCGCGGCCAGACAACACTTAGGAGGTCAGCTATGTGCGAGCCTCAAAGGAGTACGTTGCAAAAGCTCTTCGAAATGTAGATGTAGGTCATTTCCAGTACGTGACCATTATCCGCTGCATCCGCCCAGTGCTCGTGAACCACCAATAGACACTTTACACTAAAACTAATTCCGGAAGCTGTGTTGTGCCTTGATAGGTGGATTAAATCTATTCAGGAGACTCACCAGCTCTCGAGGAATTTGACCACTACACTCGTCAGACTAACTGGCCTGTTATTTGCAGGCAAACTCTGGTCCCCAAATTTGAAGGTAGGACGGATGACAGCTACCTTCCATTCCGAAGCTAATTCAAAGTTGTCAAGCAATTTCAGTGACATGATAGCCAGCGGTCTACTTACTTCTTCAGCCAACTCATCTAATAGCTTCGGGTGAACAAAATCAGACCCAGAGAGATTAGAAGGGTGCTGCCTTTGTTACAGCCTACGAACTTCTGTCTCCGTTACAATAAATGCAGATAGGCCGGAACGCTCTGGAGTCCTGCAGTCCAGCTCAACACTTGTCAAAGAGATTTTCATTACAAACGCTGCTGCTTATTTCGAAATGAGTACTCAGGCGTTGTTATAGTCCGTGTGAGCATGAGTACGCTCATCAAGCCTCAGCATCAGACTTGATGTTTTCGAAACGCAGCGCTTGTTGACAACCGCGAAGAAGCTTTTCGGATTCTCTGAAGCCTAGTCTTCTATTTCCTTCTCGAAGTTGTGCCGAGCATTCCTTTACTGTGTTTTACACTTATTTCTAGCCTCACTGGAACTGTCATAGTTATCGGTGGATGGAGCATCTCGGTAATTCTGTCAAAATTTAGAACTTTTGTGCGCCGATGCCTGCCAAGGGAATCTATGCAGGGTGGCGGTACTCGTTCCTCCATTCTTCTTGTGACTGAAGTGAAGTAAACAGAGACCTCTGTGAGCTGAGCTTAAAGTTATCCCAAATAGCGTCGTCAGTATTGTCACTTGAGACGTCCCAAGGGAACAAGAAGCCCTGGCTCTCGTTGATTGATTGTCTGCCGTATGTTTGGTAGAGAGACCACGAAGGTCAGCCACGCAGGCTGTACGTGAAAATTTATCTATTTACAGCGTGCGTCTTGGTATGTTTGCTTGAAACTTTCAGCCAAACACGAGGCACGTCAGTGCCGATTGGTTTAGACCAAGTGTGCAGTTAACGGCTTTCCCGCAAAGTTGGTTGTAACATCAGCGTTGCAAAATAACGCTTTTAATTTGTGTCAAAACTGTCTTCTTATTAATGAGTGGCCGTTATAACAGCCTGGCGACGGACATGTGTGAGCAAAATGTTACCATGCAAAGGCTACAACATCCAGCAGTGTCAATTGGATCAACGGCAGCAATTATTTGCAATCCTCGCACAAAATTTTTCAGCACACAGAGCCGAGGTTTCCAGAGAGCAGATTTGATACCCAACTCAAAGTTGCATTGGCCAAAGATATTTAAGCATTAAGTTACGACCCAGCTGGTGGCAATGCATTTTTAGATTGGTATAAGAGATATGCAGACATTTTTATTGTCGCCGGTTCAGCATTGGTTGTACCAAAAAACTACGGCTGTTGATGAAAAAGCTTGAAAATTCTGAACACATAAGATGTAGCAGTTCCATTCTGTCAAACACCCAACAGATTATAGTTTGCAAGAAACTGTGGATAATCTTGCCGTGATTTATGGAGAACAGACCTCTATGTTTAACGATCGTTCTAATTGTTTAACACATGCTAGCGCAGTAGACGAGGAGATTGTGACATATGCAGGTAGAGTGGACCAGGAATTTGTAATGTTCCAATACAAAAGCATGTCAGCCGATCAAAGCAATGCATCAATATTTGTATCTGGCTTACCATC